TATATATACTTACTATAAATCAAAATTGCCATTAATATTGTTAAATTATGCATATATAAATCATCAAAAAAAGGTTAATATTGTTCAAAAAGGACATAATAATACATCGTGTAGCCTAAACTCGGCAAATAGGGTTTCGGCAAACTGGATTTCAACCAACTGGCCAGACACCCTGGGCCTACTGTACCCAGCAATTCGCTTACACTTGGCCTAGGCATTCAGCAATTACTGTGTGTTTTGGTAATTAATAAATCAACTACCGGTACTCTAGGCCTACCATCATGGTTACATTTTTTATGATAACAGTATAAATTACGTAATAAAATTTGAACCTACACCACACAACGACGGGGACTGATGTGATGCGAGTGTGTTACATGAAAATTTGTGAAACGTGTAGGCCTATTTGACCTAGTTTGCATAAAAAAATACACCATTAGTGAGCCAAGAGGCAAGGAAATCTGTTTCCACTACTGTATTAATTTTCTTTTTATTTACTTTCTGTTCAGTGTTTTGATGCTGAATATAGCCTATTCTATCAATCAGTTCGTCACTGTTTTCACGAAGAGGCACAAACTTCAGTTTCGACGAAAACAACGTTTTGAGAAAAACACGTTTGAAGTGGACTACTTCACAAATCCGTAAATTTCACTATCAAGATAACGAAATTTTGAATATTTTTTTACATATGTTTAAAGATAAGGCATTAAACAATCCAAATGTGTAATTTACTTTTCTTTTCTTAACCTTTTAATTAGTGTGAAAAGTTTGTGTCTGTTCGTTAAAACGATCAGAATAAACCCAGCATATGTTGTTTACACGTAGAGTGAAGTTTGTGTCTCTTCGTGAAAACGGTACGCGCTGTACGGGCACCCGTTGCTAAGGCACAAACTGTATTTTAGCTATGTGTTAACCATTGTAGTCAAGGGTGAAAACAGGCCTACAATCTCGGCTTATCCTGCTTTAATCATTATGTTTTTACGAATAATTCCACATTTGATGCACGTGTATAGACCTATCCCAAGTCATACTGCAAGAAGGGTACCGGTATGCCTATAGGTAAGCTAGGGAAATCTAATTTTTACATCTAGCCCTAGCCAAGCTAGGCCTTACCTAGCGATCACAACGATTGCAATGCCGCACGCACGTCTTTTGATAACCCAATGAAAGTTTGTATCTGTTCGTGAAAATGAAAAATCCATTTTTCTCGGTTTGTGCGCAACGGCGAATTAGCTTAATTAGCTAATTAGTGTAGTTCCACTTTTAAATATTAGATGAAGGTAAAGTTTGATGTACATAATCAAAATGTCAAAGAAAAAAAAAATTGAAAAAATATGATTTTTGAAGTTTGTGTCACTTCGTGAAAACGGTGACGCGATGTGATACCAAATATTCCATATAAACTTTTGGGGGGGGGGGGGGGGAGGGGGGGGGGGGGACTACAATTGACAAGTGCATAAATTCTATGTATCAAAAAGATCTCCCCCGGTCCCGTGTTTCGCATAACCCTGCACTACCCAGATATTTTTCTGGATCCCCACTGTATGCAACCGTAAAGTAGCAACTTGAATTAAAATACGCGTCTTGTTAATCCAACAGGCCATGCATCCATACGATACATAAAAATATGTATAGAGCTACCAGTGCTAAGGCTAATCCGTGCTTAGTTAATTAGGCCTACCGACAGCCACAACGAATGAGCGTCAGCCATAAATAAAGGTAGACTAAATAGCTCTGCATACACACTCAGGTAACTGCGAAGTCAAAGTGTAGGGCCTTGGAAATATGCCACTTAAACTTACCCATAAAATCAACATCATGGCCTGTTTTCACCAGGTAGTTTTGCATAAATTTTGCTACACGCAGTCCAAGCCTATTTTCGCGTACAGTTCCAAGGAAAAGAACGATTTTCAATGGTTTTGTAGCTGCCATTGCTATACTAGTACAGATAATAGGTTCTGCACGCGTGAGAGAATGCGAGTGAATGAGAGTGGAGTGGAGTGAGTGAATAAGCAGTTTTCATATCCAGGGACCCCGGCCGGGGTCGAGGGGCCGAAGGGCAGTTGCGCGTCCCCCCCCCCCCAATTCGAAAACCTCCCTTTCAAAAACTTGCAAAGAAAATTAGGCTATGCTTATGCTGTCACTGTTAACGTGTGTTCGGGAATCTAAGAAGCAATATTTTTCAGTGGGTGTGGCCACCGAAAATAAATTCCACGCCCCTCATATTTTGGTCGCGCCCCCCCACCAGCTCTCCCATTTTAATACTGCTAGATACGCCACTGTCGACACCCAAGGATTTATTCAAGTTTAATGTTTACATCAGACATAAGATGCATTCTTAACTACCAACATCCTGTCTCTTATACACATCTAGATGTGTATAAGAGACAGCGTCCTAGTAGACTAATTTGAAGGCATTTTATCATGTTATCTCTATAGATGTCCGTGAACACAGCGATAGGGCCTATCAAAAAATTACCAGTGGAGGACATGGAGAAACAAGCAACTTGTTTCCCAAATGAAAAATACTACTGTATAAATTCGTAACCATTACGAATAAAAATTCAAAATCAATTCTGCTTTTAAGTGGACGTTTTTCGATTTGGGGGACAGGTCTTATTTGCCATCGGGAACCAGAACAAGTTAAATTTGGTAGGTTACATGTCCGTAGTTCAACCGACACCGGATTTCTTTTAAAAGGTAGTTCAAGTCCATAATAATTTTCAGTAAAATAGGTAGCGCAAGTGTTTCATTGGAGTGGCTGCTGCACCCCCCACCCCCGTAAGGCTGCTATACAAGTGTACCCCCGGGGTTTGCAGCAGCTGCTGCAGTTTGAGAATTCTGAATTTTGTTGTATTCAGGGACTTTGTGATCTATTTGATTTCAAACCTCTTTTTCTATACTGTATTAATTGTTTTATTAAAGATTTGTTTAAGACTAACTTAGTAGGCCTCTAAATCTATTCTTGGTTTTACAATTAAGTTTTTTAAATATAGCCTACTGCTGACCTCCTTCAGACGCACCATAAAACTTGTTTCATGTGCCACTGTTGTAAAAGTCAAGTCCATTAAATTTATTACTTTGAGTGATTACAAAAACTGTCAAAAGTCTTTGGTTTCTTATCTGTGACAAATCTCCGAATTAAATACATACCCGGTATTTAAGCATCCAAGGACTGGAATCTATTTTTTTTATTTGTTGTTCCTACTTCCCTCTTTATGGCGTATTCAATATCATAAAAAAAAAAAGTGGAAGATGATTAATAAAATCCTATATCCATCTAGTTGTATTATTTACTTATGATAAGTACGGTATTGTTTTACTTTAAAAGTAAACATTTTTTTAATGCAATAATCAATTTAATATCTGCATGTTGTCCATTTCAGAGTTTTTGCCATTATAAATACTTGCAAATGGAATTTGGGCAATAATTAAGTTAATTGTTAATCTTGTATTCTTCTAATATGTTACAAATCAATGGTATATAGCCCTATATATAATTTTATAGGCCTATGTTTATATATCTGCCTGTATGTGAACAATTTAAAAAAAAAATAGATATTTGATTTTTATTCTCGAAATGAAGTTTTTATAGTAAATTGTCTTTTTTTTTTCTTTTTTTCCTTCCCTTTTTTTATTTTTTTAAAATATGTTCTTGTGATAATAGTTTTTAAATTGATAACTGACATTTTTTTCATATACATTTTTGTATAAATAATATAACCAATTACTATTATGAATTTTGGATATTTAGAAATTGTTCTTGTGCCTTGTGATTTGGATTTTTAAAATTATTGTGAATATTAATAACTGATAACAGATAGTAAATAATAATAATTGATAACAGATAATATTTTTATATATAATAATAATAGTATAAATTTTAATTTTAAATTTTGTCTTTTGTGTGTTTTCCTATTCAATTTCTCTTTGAATGTTTTGTATTATCCAATCTGTTATCGATTGCAATAAAGTTATATATGATTTTTTTTTAATGTGTTATGCGTAATGCTAAAATAAAATAGACCATTTTGAATCTTTCTATAGTTCCGTTCTTTTAGCTTTTAGATTAAATACAACATTACTGAAAGAGGGTTTGTTTTAGAAGAATTTACTTGAACATTTTGCATGCAAAGCAAGAAAGTTGAGATGCTTTTAGAGGCAGATTATTTAATATTTATTTTTGGAGGCAGATTATATTATACTTTTCATGTTTGCCGCCCTCTGCAATGTCTGACACCCTGACACCACCATCATAAACTAAACTTTGTTGGTGGATTGTTTGGGTTGAGTGATTATCGATAAGGTAACCTGCTACGTAAGAGGAAATATACCTATTGTATCGTTTCATAAAACTTGATGTAGGAATTGTGTAATACTGTTTATTCATTGTATTAAACTGTAAAATACGTTCGATTACAAGGATCCATCAGAGAGACGCCAGCAGAGAGATTTATTAAAAATTGGCCAACCAAGAGGCCTAGCCTACTCTAGTACTACTCTAGATTTAGGCCCTAGGCCCTAGCCTAGTGACAAGTACGAAAAAGTTAAGCCCATCATGTGTGGCGGCCTTTTGTGCAGTAGAACGAGATTCAGGAGCAGGTCCGATGTTTAGATGAACAAAAGGTAAGCTTAATAAGTGGCCCTGGGCTATGCAGGGAGATGTTTAAGACTAGGCCTAATACTGTATAGCACTTTTTTATGCCAAAATCATTATCAATTAATTGTCATTCCACCATTCTATTAAAGTAGGCTTTGTTTGTTCGTATACAGTAAATGATAATTGAGGGAAATTCAGGGAGTTTATGTTTGTTGTAAGTAATAATGTAATGTACACATCATGCTAGGCAGGACTAGGCCTAATGTAGATAGAGGCCTATGGTTTGACAGGTTTTACTTTTATATACTTCCATCATAGGTATTATATAGGGTAGGTAGCTTTTATGTACACAAATAATTTTTTTTTATTGAGAACACATCTATTTATTAAAGTAGGACTTCGGGCTGAGTTTCATTTTTCTTTATATGAATGACTTAGAATCAGATCAGGCCTAACAAAGGCCGTATTCGACTGGTCGTTCTGCATTAAAACGCGCCCACCTGCGCAGTGGTAAAATCCTACTTGGCCAAGATGACCAGTCGAATAGAAAACTAGTAAATACTTGAGAAAACAAAATGGCTGCATAGCTACCGCGATACACGCTGGTTATTTCAAGGTTGCTTCAGCTTGTGGCAGTATGGGTTTTTCGTAAAAAAATGTTTTCATCCAGTTTTGAATTCTGTATTGGGTGTCCCGAAAGCTCAGACCACGAAAGCTAAGACCTAAGATCACGAGATATCAGACCCACTCGAAATATCAGACCCCGCAAATTAAGACCCTAACTAAGTATGCCAGGATTTCCAGACAATAATACCTTTATTCGAAAGCTAACATCAATATAAAGAACTGACTAATCATGAAATAAACACCAGTAAGTATTATCGATACCACCCATGGAGTTATAATTGATAATAATAAGAGAAAAACAAATACAGTACAAACAAACCGTTGTAAAGTGTACAGGCTACTCCACGGAACCGTACGGTTTTGACAGCGGTTTCTAATGCACATCGTGCGAATATCTGATATACTGTATTTATGATTCTCGATTGTTCTCGGTGATAATAATGATAATAATAATAATAATAATATAAATAATAATAATAATAATAATAATAATCATAATAGGTCGATTTATAAGCCTGTGCAAATAAACAAAGTCTCTAAGTGCCATGTCCAAGTCCTCTGGGGCGGATCCAGAGTTTTTCTGACGGGGGGAGGGAAACAATACAGTATGAGGTTCTCGCCGCCACGCCCACCTTAGCCCCACCATGCTTGGTGTAAAGTGGAAAATAATCGAGCTATCCTTCCACTGCTGGAGCCACTGAACTCATGGGTACAATTTTTCCTCTCTTTAACTCAAAATTTTCGGCTTGACTGCATTGGGTGGGGGGGAACGGGACCTCATGCCCCCACCCCCTTCGCTGGATCCGCCACTGGTCCTGGTTTCATGTTCTATGCTTTTAGTAATTTTATCTTTTTTATTATATAATATTTTGAAACCGATCGATATAAAACAAAAAAGAAACAAGTAAAGAAAGGTAAGGTGAATGTAAAAAGAAGAACATTTAACTATCCTAAAATTATAAAGAGTGAGAACTATCGAGAATTATAATATCAGATACAGTATTCGCACGATAGATGTGCATTAGAAACCGCTATCGAAAACGTACCAAAACCGTACCGTACGGTTTCCTGGAGTGCGAATAGCCGGTTTGTTTGTATTGTATTAGTTTTTTTCAGTAAACGTCGCAAGTAGGGGCCTACCTGGTATCGATGATACTTAATGGTGTTTATTTTATGATTAGTCAGTTCTTTATATTGACGTTAGCATTCAAATAGAGGTATTGTATTGTCTAAAAATCCTGGCATACTTAGTTGAGGGTCTTAATTTGGGGGTCTGATATCTCGAGTGGTCTGATATCTCATGGTCTTACTGTAGGTCTTAGCTTTCTTGGTCTGAGCTTTCGGGACACCCATTCTGTATTGCCTACAATTATTTTTTTGGCTTCATGTGGGTATTATAATTTTATTATCTCCTGAAATTTATTCTAAATTATATTAACCCAAATGTTGTTGCTGAACTGACCAATCAGCCATGTTTGTTTTTGGTCACGTGAATAACTTAACGCAGATTTAACGCACTCTGGTTTACGTTGTCAACGAAATCTATTTTACGACCAGTCGAACGAAAATAATATTCTATGAAAAATCATACTCATATGTACCAATCGAATAAGCCCAATGACATTTATTTGAAAAAGACTTTTCTGTAGTTTACTGCCAAACTGTATACAGGTCCACCTCTAATTAAAGATCACTCCAATTAAAATACCACCTCCAATTAAAGACCACTTTTCAGCTGTGGTTTCTAACAAATATCTTTTATCTTTATTAATATTATTCTAACTAATTAGAGACCACAGCTGCAAAAAAGACCATGGAAATCCCGGTCCCAAAAGTGGTCTCTAATTGGAGGGAGACCTGTATTTAAAAACAAACATTCCATCCATGGCATTATTCATCAAAGTGGTTATTCATTAAGATAGTATAGTTATGGAAACAAAAAATGTAAACTTTTTAAAAACAGATCAAAAATTTAGGACAAAGGGTTTAACACAATGACAGGTTGGGGACCTACAGTATATCAACCAGATTTTCCTGAACCTTTGCAAGTTAAATGAATTATGGAAGACATAATATAATCAACCATAAACAAAGAAATCATAGATAACCAATTAAAGGACAGATTTAGTTAGCATAGTACCTATTACTAAGGTTATTAGTAAGACTGTTCATGGTACTGTACATTCATGAAGTAAGTTAATACATAATAATGTAATGCGTGTTAGCTCAATTATTAGGCCTACTGTATACCGTAGTCCATTAATAGTGTAGGCCTACTGTTTTTTAGCACTGGAGCACTCGTCACTCACAATTCTGATCAAGATGCCGTGATGATGATCCATGTAAATGACATTTTCATGTTTTGAATTTGTCAGTGCCCACATGTTTGTTGTATACGTCAGTCCCACGCCTTATTTCTGTGAATAAACACAGTCTAAATAAAGATAAATGAGTAATTCAATTGAATCCTGTATAATGATTCACTCAGTCTTTTATTCATGCCTGTATATTCTTTTTCTAACTTCCATATTGATGATAAAAGGATTGCAGTTTAGGGAATAATGTAGTGTACAATTGTACAAAAGAACTTACAGTAGCATGACATGTGTACTGTACATGGCTTTGTGGTTAAGAGTGCATTCTTTGTTCAAATTTAAACCCAGGTATTTTACTCTACAACTGTATTTGACTTAGCAAATCAAGAAATAGGATATTCTGAACAATATGCTGAAAATAGTGATGATACTAAACAACGCATCACTTGACAGCAAAAAATCCCTCATTTTAATTAAAATCTTATTACAAAATTTCCCACAAGGCCATGTAGTAAACCCCACTCTGGTACAGGCCTATGTCACATAAATATTCAAGAGCCGGGGATCTTCATAGATCAAATAAATTTGAGGTTCCATACGCAGCAAAAGTCCATGTTAAAATCAAAATGTAATTGCAAAATTCAATGTCTAATTTATCAAAATGTAGGCGTAAATTTTTCAAAATGTAGATCTAGTTTGCCAAAATGAAGTTCTAATTTTTCAAAACGTAGTTCAAATTTTCCAAAATGTAGTTCTAATTTCTTTAAAACGTAATTCAAATTCAAAACGTAGGTCTGACTTGATCAAACGTCCTCTCCAAATTCTGTTCCAAAACCTAAATCAAAACAAGCCAAGCATGACTGGTTTGAAATACATTTTACAATCAACAGAAGAAATGCAAATGTAAATCAAAACTACTGTATTCAGCCAAGCGTGACGTGGGCCTGTTCCATTAATGATGGAGAAATCATTTTTGGCTGCAGTCCAATGCCGTGAACAACGTTTCCCAGTGCGGCTGCTAATTTCTAATGGTCAGGGTACGATCACGAGCCCTATGCTAGGCATTATAGGCTAGGCTTATGTGGGCTGGAATTTGCAACAAGGTCTTAGACCAGGCCTCTATACTATAGTAGGGGGCCTGGTCCTATAATATAGTAGAATTATAAGTAGTCATATGATTACAGGTTTACATTGTACCAAGGTCGATATTAACGATCGCATTTATTTTTCAATGAAAATATAAAAAAAAACTTCAAAAGAAAATAAATTTAACTTATTCAAAAAAACTGTACACTTCAAAAATAAAAAATAATAAAAATTTAGTTAACTTAAAACACAAATAACGCGATAAGATATGAATTTTGCAAGAATAATTGGTATACTTGTACTGTATTTTCTGAAGCGCCGTTCGTTTTGGCGTTGCTACAATCAGGAGTTGTTACAATCAGTGGCATCACGCTCGGGCGCTGCAGGAGGGGGGCGCGGAGCGCCAGAGCCTCAGGCACGAGGGGCCCCAACATTGTAGTTTAAAAAAAATATAATATAAACTGTAATGTAGACATGCCCCTGCATGTCTACAGCCTGTTAGGTATGCACGAGAGTCTTCAATCCGCAACTGCGATTTTGACACACTACAATTCTAGGCTAGCTTAATGTTTACAAAGATCACATAAATCCAAAAGCACACAAAGCATTCATTTAGTGCTAGTTGCAACTTCAACTTCAATTTGTATTCACAAACAACGTAGTCCAAGTTTTAACTACGACTAAATCAAGTCCTAGTTCAAGTGGTCAAACTGATCAATGAAAAGGGCTAATTTTAATAGCAGACGAAATTTTAGAGATCCGGTAACGCGGATACCGTAAATATTAAGCTGCCGTCTGTGGTTCAAAAACGTATTTCCTCATAATTCATAATAGACCATCATTCGCTTAATTAATTTTCTATAATAATAACGATATTAGTGTTTAACATATTACGATAAAGAATTTAAACAGTCACTGAAAATTTGCTTTCTTTGGAGAACTAATATAGTTGAGCCCGAGCGAGGCACTGGTGGCGCCAGAGGGGGCTGGGGGACTATAGGCGATAAATTTTGTCGGTGAACAAACAAATAAAAAAAAAATATTTACATGTAATATTCGTTTAGCCACCATATCGTTTGTGTTAACTTTTCATCACAACAACAACCACAATAACAATAATAATAATAATAATAATAATAATAATTCAATGAGACTATTAAAAATAATTTGCGTTCTGTTATGACAAATGCTCATTTAGATAGCCTCATGATGGTTGGAATACATCGTGATGGTGAAGCAACCTCGACCATGACAACGTGGTTGACGGATTTCATGCAAAATTTTCAAAATGTAGATTTTCACTTTCAAGAATGAGGATTTGAAAATAAATTAGATTGTTTATTCAAAATGTTTTGGTTTTGGAAGCTGATTTCAACATTATAAAGCATAGCCTACAAGTCATATTATAGTAACTCGATGCCTATTAAAATAAGTAATAAAAATTCGCCATATTTCATCAAATATCCGTGGCTTCATCAAATATCCCTAGACGGCCCCCTGGCCCCCAGCCAAGTGAGACTAGATTCGCTCCATTAGCCCCCCCATCGGGGCCTTCAGCCCCTCCGTCGGACAGGTCCTGGCGCCACCACTGGAGCGAGGGCGGCGCAATCTTTGTTGTTGTATGGTGGAGCTAGGTGATCGCAACGCGAGGTGATTTCGTGCAAATCAGGAACTATCAAATGTGGCTAGCAAAACATGTTAATTTCTCCTTTTGGAAGCTAAACTTGATGTCTCTTGTTTAACACACCAAAAATATATCAAACCTGCGGTATACAATCATTTTTATTCCTTTCACTTTATCGTGAGCTACAAAAACATGTTTTTAGTGGGGTAAATATTTCAAGTTGGCGATTTAGCCTGACCCTAGGCTGACTAAAAAAATCAGTCTGAGGAAGTATAATTCTAGTCGAGGTTCGCGTGATTTAGTCGTAGTGCTAGTCGAAGTGCATTTTAAGAATACGAAATGACGTAGTATTGAAGTTTTAGCTCGAACTACGACTAAAGTTCGTTTTAAGAATAACTACTATATGTCACATGGCTGGCTGTAAGCAAACCTTGCGGAATGTGTCTATTACAGATAATTTAGGAGTTGCAGTTCAAACCTGCGACTGTGCAATACACTTTAACTAAAATATTGTTTTTGTTATAAAATTTGTTTTTTATTTGGTGGTGGGGAGTGGGTTTATACCAGAGGAACTACTGTATCGTAAATTATACTGATCCAAGTTCTTCATTCGTAACTTTGTGGTATACTGTAGCAGTCCACTATACATTGTATACAATGGATTAAATTGTTGTTTTTGTTATAAAATTGTTTTACTGTATATAGTGTGAGATTTTAACACAAACAATGCATGAGTAATTCTTTGAATCTAATACAGTTAACTGCATGACTGATATCTATGCATGTTTATTTTTGTTTTATATTACTTCCAGCATAATTTGGCTCTAACATAACACCTAACTTAACATGGAGACTGTTACCTCGCTTGAGGTCCGTGTAATCCATGGGGCATTACATACAGGTAAGTACAACTTACATAAATGTTGCATCGCAAAAAATTCCATTTTGTAATATGCTACTGTATGTTAACTGCATAGTTGCCAACAAATACGGATTGATCGTGAGACTCACAGATAATTTATCATTTGTCAGTTTTACTACGGATGAACAAAAACTCACGGATTTCAAGGTTACATGGAGTAATATTTTTACACTAGTAAATAATGATTTGTGAATGCACAGTAATATGCAATAAATAAATCAATATGCCATTTGTAGGCCTAGTGTTTAGTGTAGCAAAGAGTAAGGCTAGGCTATAGATAGTACAAGAGCCCAGTACGCTTGTTGGAATTGTAAACAAACGACTCCCTTTTACACCCACTGCAGTCGGTATGCTTTTATTAGCCAAAATGCACCGTGCATGGTTTGTTTGTTTAATCTGTTTTCCACATGACAGTATTCTACTGAAAAGGCTCACTACTATTAGACAAGAGTGGTTGCATTGATGTTGCTTAGACTTCTCACATGCATTCAACTTTGTGTGTTTTCCCCTTCTACTAAAAAACTCCATTCTCTTGGGATCCATGGCACAAATTTGTCATGGATAATTGACTTTCTTTCTGACCGCTTACAAAGGACAGTTATATCAGGCGAATCTTCAATATGGAAAAATGTGGGTTCTGGTGTTCCCCAAGGCACATCTTGGGCCCTACTCTTTTTAAATTTTTTATAAATGACATTTCTGTTGGTGTAAACTCCACTATACAACTATATGCTGACGACTGTATTATATAGAAACATTAAGTCCCTATCTGACTGTCACAATCTTCAAGATGATTTATCCAGTGTGTTTAACTGGTCAACCGATTGGAATTTAGGATTCAACGCTTTAAAATGCAAAACCATGCGTATTACAAAAAAACTAAACCCTATTACATCATCAGACTTCTGTTATTCCCTTGGCAACCATACTCTGAGTTGGTCAACATCAGAAAAGTACCTCGGTGTTACTATTGACAATACCGTTTTGTTCAAAAATCATTTTTCCATAACAAGTAAAAGATGCAACAGACTTCTTGGAATTATGAAACATGTGTTTCATATTAAACTACCCACAAACATCTTTAATCAAGCTTTATGTTTCCTTAATTCGTCCTCATCTTAAGATCTCTTGAGTCTGCGATTGATCCCTACAGAGTGGGTGTTTGCCAAATGTTGGAACGCGTGCAGCGTCGATTAGCCCGCTTCATTTGTAAAGACTATGAGTACTGCTCTCTACTACTAAACAAACTAAATTGCACCAGTTTGCATGAACGCCAAAAATACCTTCGTTTAAATTTTTGTTTCCAAAATTTATCACAATTTAGTTGATCTAACTTTTTCCAGATACTTCTCTTTGAATTACAACCGGACTCGATCTAATCACGATCTCAGACTTACAGTTCCAATGCACCACACTGATATTCTTAAATACTCCTTTTCACACAGAACTGTTGTTGACTGGAATGTACTCCCTAGGCATGTTATAGATTCTCCCTCTCTTTCTGTTTTAGACTACTATGCTATCTTTCCCTTCATCGTTCCAATTCTTATCCAATTTGCCTTTAGATAATATCATTTTAATTGAATAACTATAACTCCTAAATATATTCCATAGGTTTTTATTGTTTTTACCTTGATTTTATGTACTGTAGACCTTAATTATTTTCGATTTAATTTATTATAGTCATTGCTACTAGGCCTACAGTAAGTAAGCTGACTTTCACATTCTGTATATAAAGTGAACTTTTTATAATTAATTTATATTTTATTAAAATTGTTATTTTATTTTATTTGTTTATTTTTATTTCTTTTTATTCATTTGTCTATCATATTTATGTTTATTTTATTTATTTATTTTACTTATTTTATTTATTTATTTACTTTTGTTAACTAAGTATTCACCTATTTTGTTGGCAATTTTTTTTATATATCCTGTTTTATTTTAAAGTTAAATAATTAATTCAACATATAAGTCTTTAAGTTTCTATAGTTTAATTGTTTCTTGTAGTTTTACTGCTTATTTTCTATAAATTCTTTAGTTTTAGGGAGTTGTTTATATGGCTTATGCCCGCTCAGCAACCCTTGCTTGCTTTTTTGTGTGTTTGTTCCTTTACTTAATTGAATTGTGTATGTAATCTTTGTTGCAAGTGAAATAAATTTAAATTTGAATTTGAAATATTAAAATGTTTTAATTTTATTACACCAAGTAACTTTTGGATACAAAGCAACATTCATCCTACTGTAAGTTTACAGTACTGTACTTTGTTTTGGTCAAATTTAAGTTTTTGATTTTATTAAAAGTTTACATACATACATTTTTTACTTAATTTAGTGTTCAAGATTAATTAAATCAATAGTGAAAATGCCCATATTGTGCAAGCATCAAGTGAACTTTGTCCCCTGGACCCTCACCGGGAGCTCTAGGCAGCCCCCCTCCTCCTTGCTCCCAGCCCCCAGTTCTCACAATTTTTTTTGGTTGAAAAGTTGGCAACTATTTAACTACACATTTGAAATTAATAATGCTTCTTTTTCATTGTTTTTGTGAACCCAGTGGTAGGCACTGTGCTTCGTGTTTTGACTAAACTGACCCACAGCTCCAGAAGTTTGCTGACAGCGAGCCTAACAAATCTGTCTGGGGTTTCAAACTAAGACTCTTTCTTGGACCAAACCTGTGGGTTCTTGAGCAGTGGCGTATCTAGAAGGGGGAATTGGGGGAGGGGCTCGATGATCAATTGAGGGTTGCTAACTCACAAAATTAGGTGATTTGAGGTGATTTTGAACTACTGTACTTGACCGTAATTTTTTGGAGGGGTAGTAAGTACTCCATGGTACAGGAATACAGGTGTGTTCGTTTTTTCTCCCTTTTTTTTTATTGGCTTAAAGGTAAGGTGACAGTAAGTACTCCATGGTAATACAGATGCTTTCCTTTCCTCTCTCTTTTTTATTGGTTTAAGAGCAAGGGTTGCAGCAGTAAGCACTTCATGGTAATAAATCTCCTGTCATTTAGTAGTCATCTTTCTAACCTTTAACACCTGTCAGTTCCAAGGGAAACATAAAGATGTCATCATACATGTTAGGCAATCTGTCTTTATTACAACATCAGTACTACTGTAGTGAGCATCTGAATCAATAGGGTGTGCGAAAATTGTGAAATCCATGAAGAAGCAGAAGTGACACAATAGCATAGTGGCCCATTCAGTGTGTGCGGTTAAGCGTGAAGATCGTTTCATCCCTGGACTTCACTGCAGAGATGTACAGTAGTTATAGTGGGCGGGGCCACCCAGCCTTGAAGTTTTCCACCCAGTCTAAAGCGAATTTCATGGCCTTCCACCCACCCTTATTAACCCACTTTTCCATTCTTAAAATCTACTCGTATTATCTAGCATGGCATGCGGAACCACTTTTTGGCAGAAAATATATAATGTCTGGAGATTTTTGTATCAGAAAGAAATGCAAGAAAAGAAAGAGGGAAGCAGGAAGAGAGGCAGGGGAAATAGAGTGTTTCTCCAGTCGCCGACTGAGTTACATCTTTTCTGGCAATTCACATTGGCGGATCTGGTGGCCAGGGGTCCTGACCCCTCCCCCTTCCTTGGGAAAAAAATAAAGAATTCTAGGCCTACCTTTTCAGGACCTGTGAGCTGAATTTTTTTTGTTTACAAAAAGAAATTTAGAGGTCGGGAAAGCTCATTTCCTGCCATCTAAGAATCTAAATTTTATCGGGGGAGTAGCCCCATACCCTGACCCCATTTTATTTTTGGGGTTCATCGATTAATGGAAAAAAAAATACGTAAGCAATGTAGGTATAATGGTACACACATAATAGGCCTATTAACTATAATATGAGTGAGAAAAGTTTACCTGATCGTATTTAAGGGGCAAAACCTTGAATTTTGAAGAACTTAAAAGTCATTAAAAGACACTAAGAAGTTGGGAAAGCTCATTTCCAGCCATTTAGAAATCAACATTTTTCCGGGGAGAACCCAAACTTCCCTTTCTCTTTTGGGTTGGGTTAATTGAATCATAGAATCCTTTTCAAGAAGAGAAACCTTGAATTTTGAACTTAAATGTCATTAAAAGACACCTCAGAAGTCGGGAAAGTTCATTTCCTGCCATCTGGAATCAAAATTTCCCCAGGGGAGAACCCCCAGACCCCCACCCCTTCTCTTTGGGGTTCATCAATTCATGGAAAAAAGAATACGTATGCAACTACTCATTTTTTTTAATACAGTACATAACACATGACAGGCCTAATGAGAAAGTTTACCTGACCATTTTCAACTTGAATTTTGAAGATCTAGGTCATTAAAAGACACCTACAGTAACTCAAAAGTCAGGAAAGCTCATATCCCGCCATCTAGGAATTAAAATTTTCCCGGGAGAGGGCCCGTCCCCCCCGAAGCCAGAGCAGTTTTTGTGTTTAATGGGTCTATATAATGTTATAAAAGCAGTTATGTTTTGAAAAAGATCTATGTAATGAAAAGGTGGTAATATAATAAAATTAGAATATATTTTCTGAGAATTGGCATGTTTAAATCACACCGAAAGATATAAAAAAAACCTCATTGTATAATCAATACTTAACACATCTATTATTATAAAACAAAAAAAAAAAGCTATTCTTCTTCTTCTACCTCTTCCTCTTCCTATTCTTCTTCAACTACTTCTTCTTAACTCTCATTGTGTACACTGAAAATAATAGTATTTTACTACATGGCTAAAAAAAGCACAAATATTGTCATTAGGCCTACTACTGACAGGGCCATCGTTAAATTAAGTCAGAGCCCAAAATATACTGTAGCATCATATTCAATACGTCATCTGACATCTTGAGAACCTACACTTTAATTACAATTATTTGTTATATACTAGGCCTAATTCAAAATTATTATTTTAAGACTTTAACATAATAATGATTAATAATAGCTGAGATTTGATGCACATTTTAGAATTAATAATCGTTTTTAGTATATCTTACTGAATATTTATTGGCTACCAAATGAAATATGAATTATATGCATCTTTAGAAATACAATTTCTACAATATTCTTCTTATTATAATTCTGTCTCTAAATAAATGAGGAGCAAACCTGCTAGTCAACATCTAGCTAGGCTAATTGATTTTGAAATCAATAACCCACCTTAAAGGACTGTCTGTCGTTTTCTTCTTTGCAACAGCGGACGAAAAAAAGTCAGTTATTTTCTTGACGTTTCATGATTCTTTATCACTAAAAATTAACAAACACTCGTTTTGACGAGTTCTGTAGTGTGTGTCTGCTGTTGAAAACAAACTTCCTAGCCTAATTTTGTGACTGGCTATGATGACTGAGATGGACCATGTTGATTGATTAATAATATTTTGTTTGGGATGGAAAAAAGGAAAGTCACTATCCCCAAAATGCTCCATCAGCACATAGTTTAGTGTGCAGCTATGGACAGTATGGCTATGGAATTTACTAACCACACAATCCACAATCAGGTGATTAAGTCGCAAAACTTTATCTGCATTTGGTGGATTAAGTCGAAAAACTTTAGCTTCGTTTGGTGGCACCATTTACTCTAGGTAGACGGCGACCAGTTTCGTTAACGGTTGGTACATTTGTTACAAACATTCAGCCAAAGGCCAGTGAAAGTTAAGACGGCAGCCGGGTTTTATCAATGTTTGCTATCCTTATGTGTGCCATCGTAAAGCCATAGTTTGCTGGAGTTGCGTTTAATTTAAATCTCCAAACTTCTGAAGCTGAGATATTCTATGAATGTAGGTTTGTATCGCAGGCTACAATTTAAAAACAGGTGACCAAATAATGAATTAGGTGCTAAATTTTTATTTAATGCTGGGTAAGTTAAAAACAGACATTCCGTCCGAGTGGGACTCATTCAAAAATTTGAGGGGGTTCGCTAGAAAAGGGGGGTTCGTCCGAACCATAAAAACCCCCTGGCTACGGGCCTGCCATTCATCTTACTAGTGATATGGAAAGTTGTCAAAGGCTAATAGGGACCAGGGATGAAGCCTTAGTGACCCTGATGAGGGTCCAAGAAAGTAAGGCTTTGTGGCGTCCTAGAGAAACTAAGTAGTTTTGCATTTTCGTATTAACTTAAAGTGGTATTCAAAACAAACAAATGAAAAACAACATCTCTGTTTTGATCAGATCTACATTTCATATGAAGCCAAATAATCTTGTCTGCCAAAGACAATTCTAAAATTGTAATCAAGTCGTCCATCTACAAGGGATCAAGCTTTTTAAGAGGGCTATTTCTCATCACTTCGCTGATGGCTTCAACATCACCACGTTTCAATACTTCAAATTCACATTTGAAGTTAGTTGTTCATGGAACAATATCATCGTCAAAGTATGAGTGTGACCTTTCCATGCATCTAGAGACTACAAATCTTTTAGAAATTTCTTAACTTGGCCCCAACCATTGTGGGGCTGAGATGTATATCTCGCTCATGTCTATTCCCCATTTAGTGGATTTCAACATACTAAAAGTTTCTTGATACTGTATAACAATTTCGATTTTTAGTCAGTCAGTCGGTGGGTACAGTATGACGTTCTGAAATACTTGTGAGACCCAGTCCTAAAGATTGTTTTAGATCATATTATTATGCCCCATGTTCATTTTTTGGGTCAACAAGTCATTGCTTATGAGGGATTGGCCTGTCTGACCCCAATTCTGAAAATAGACTTATTGACAGTTAACAATTGTGCAAATTTCGACCTATATTTTTACACCTTTTTGGTAATGACATACATACTGTACTTCAAAAAATTATACACGTTTAAACTTCTGATGAACTTTGTAACATTTTTCTTTTATATCTAAAAATCCCAACCCTTGTATCATCGGACTAAACAGGATTACACAGTTAAGTCTAGACAAAATCATAACAATATATATAATGTACAGGAAGAAACAGCTCAAAGGTGAAGTTTTAACATGTTTATGTGTCAAAGCTCCTGTTAATCCCTTGGGCACGCATTCACCACAGTCTGTGTAATTTAGTGGCCAGAGACAAAAGACAGGAATCAGTGTACAAGCTTGAAAACACTTTTTTTGACTTTTGATCTTAATCATATTGAATTATATATTGTATACAGTATATTAAGTATACAATGATACCAACTGCTGCCTCTCAGAAAAGCAAGCCTGACCAAGCATGAATGAGGTCAGGTTTAAACTCAATAGCTTGCCAGGTTCTGTCTTCTCACTTAGAAGGTTCACAGAATCGAGTGAACATGTCAATTTGAGAGTAGGCAACATTGACGATCTTGGACTCTACTGCGTGTATTTTAATGTGTTGAGCTGCGTAAGTTAGAATTTGTTGTACTGTACTGTTCTAATATTATTTTAAATTTCAATATTTAATTGCATCATCTCTTAATTTAGAGCACTCTTTTGGGTGTAATGCACAGTGAACAGTAGTACAATATTAGCACTCTAATAGCTATACTACTTTCTCCTTAAGGTACTGTTTTTAACCCTCTTCATTGTTTTAGTATCCCCCTATAGATACTTCTAAGCTCCTATATATCTGTCTCTTATACACATCTAGATGTGTATAAGAGACAGCTGTATAGACATTGTGATCTTAAATCGTTCATGTAATAGTATTACGTCGTCACTCGTATACAACATCTGTAAACTTATTATTTTAAGCTTCGCTTTAAGAACCATGCCTTGTTAGGCCTACTATAAAACTAGTCTTTATAAATTTTAGACTTAATATATTTCCACATATATGTAAGAAGTCTGTCTCTTATACACATCTAGATGTGTATAAGAGACAGTATATATAGTGAACAAATCATAAAAATATGATTTGAATCAAATTGTATTCTCTTTAATAGATGTGTTTATAAAGTATTATAAATATTTATTGTTACAAGACACTATTACTGTAACTAGTCAATTTTATATCGGCTCTGATGATTTTTTAATGACATTCTGAAAGGGGTACTAAAAAAGTAGAGGCTCATGGTTCGTGAAAACTGTGGCAATTTTGTTTGAGCCCTTGCATGTAAAAGTCGGATCGATCATTTACTGTAAGGTTGTTAAAGGGCATACTAGATGGTCTGAAAGAAGGTATACTAAGCATGAATTGTTTGGCACAGAATGGAGCTTCTTGGGAAAGATTAGTAAGACCTGCCTCTGAAATTCTAATTCTGATGAGAATGTTGGCCATGTACAGTGTAAACTAAAACGTTATCAAATGTGGATAGACCTATATAAATTAATAGTTTGGATGCCGATGAGATAAAAAGAACACGATCAGGTCAGGATGCCCTATACGAGAGTCTAGTGGCTTATCATTTTTTAAAATGTTCTCATTGGGGAGGAGAACACCTCCCAAACCCTGCCCTGACTCAGGCCTACAGCCCTTGGATGGCGCTACGCACCAAAGTACAACTCTTGCCTGCCTGTTGTGACGTTGCCCTGCCGCCATGTATGTAGACCGACAGTATAATAGATTCTTATTTTGGTAATGATGGTTGCCAAACACATTTCACTCTGGGTTGTTTTTTTTTTCCCCTTCATTAAATATCTCACGGTACAGTATTTACCTTGGTTAAAATGCAGATCGTGTGAATCAGGTATTAAATTTAGTAGGCCTACGTGAAGAAGAAATTATGGTAATTAAAGGAGATTATAAACTCTTTTATATTATTTGTACAGTATTTACTAGGCATTATAACAAAATGTTAATGGTTTGTGTGACCTTATCTACTTAAATTTACAGTGTCGACATAAAATTTAATCTCCAGTCAGTATAACTATAAATAATGTTGTGTTCAAAGGTGAAGCCATTGGAATACCGATCAATTTTTTTGGTTACTATTGGCTTCTTTTACTTTCGTTAGCCAACATCATGACCTTGCTAAGTTTGAACATAAAGCTGGGTACTGTACAATGTCAATTCAACTCTGTTCCCTGCTGATTTTTCGGTGGCAGTCTGAACGGATCGTCATTAAAAACGATCCATTGTGCGTACGTTGTGGTATTGCGTTCTCCATAGGATTACACAGTGATTGTTTGGCTTAAGGTTTTCTGAATATATTTTATTTAGAAAGTTAGCCAGCTGCAACTGAGTGTCCCAGGGTTGTATTATCCACTGATGCATTACCACTCCTTCCTCCACCACTCCACCCTGCCTGCCTTTACACTACAGTATATGCAGTAAAGAAATTAACAGCTTTTTTGAAAACTATCATTTTTATATTATCACTAAACATTGTAAGTTGATATTGTATATCTCAACAGGGTCACTTGGGCATGGCTGGGATTTTCATAGCTTAAATGGTCATCTATTAACCACCTAGTAAGCTTTTAGATGCCTGGCAAATACATATAACTACTTAGATTCCAGTTAGTACAAGCACCATTCAAGTGTAGGAATTAACATTCCATATGTATTACAGTATTATGCAGTGATTTTGGTTTCAGGTTTTTATCCAAGGATTATGATGATTTTTAGACTTGAAATGAAGCCATAGTTTTGGGTATAAATTCAAAATGTCTAATTCATATTGCCATATTATACATTATATTTTGTTGGTATCAGTTCATGACACTTCATTCAATCTCCTTATATGAGGCTTCATTCCCATAATATCCTAACTTGTTTTGAGTAATGCTGTAACATTATTAAAATGAATTTATATTTAAAATTTAATGTCTCAGAATTTATCTAACATAATATTTGTTTGTTATTACAGAATCAACCAAAGCAATTGAAATCAATGATGAAATTAGAGGAGTTTTTTCAGCCAATCAACACAATTCCATTGACCATAACGCCCTGTTACCCAATCAGAATTCAGAAGAGACGATAGATTTGATTTCAGCTGATGTACTTGATGAGGAACTCACAGATTTGATTGGTGTAGCTCAAAACTACTTACATAGACAGTCTCATGTATGTGAAGATGATAGTTTCATGTTAAATAGGAGTTGTGATGACTCCATTGTACCAGGTTCTGGGGGAAAAAACCAAGACCCAAATGTTATTAATTTAGACTGTTCTGTTACAGAATTTGAAGTTCCAGTTTCAAAATTAGATGTGTCTATTGAAGATTTAGAAGCTGCTGTTTTGGACTTAGCAACAACTGTTTCAGATTTAAAAGTTTCTAGTTCTTGTGAAAGTACTGACACAACTCCAAGGAACTCTTCTAGTGAAGATACTTCTGAAGCAGAAGAAGGCATTGACACAGAGATGAGGTGGAAGAAAAAGGGAGATCATCCTGAGTATTCTAAGGAGGAGTTTAAGGAGGAATATTCTCGAGGAAATTCTATAAAAACAAAAAGTAAGAGATCACTAAAGAAGGATAAGAAACCTATTCAGAATGGGTTTAAAGAAAATGAGGAGGGTGGTGGAATGAGCAATGAAGGGAGTATTACTGGAGATCTGTCCAGTGGATGCTCAGGAGTAGTTGGCACAACAGAAGCTATCTGCAAGTTTAAAGTTCCTTCAGATGAAACAGAATTCACCAGGAATGATGGAATACCATGTTCAGGATTTAGTGGGGGTTTCTTCATTCCACCACCAAAACCACCAAGAATTCAAACCCAGTTAAGTGAACCAGTTATAACTAGCCACCATACTCAACCCGATGCATGTAGGCCTAGAGAAACAAGAAGTATGAGTCTACCACCAGTACCTCCACCTAAGCCCAGGAGGTCAATGGTAGATGATGAATGCAATGGAGCAAAAAGTTGTCTTCCAAGTGATAACTCTCATGTTACCAGAGGTTCAGTTGGTTATCCGGATGGAAGTGACCTTAGTAAAATTGCCTTCAACCTTCAAACTGTCAATGGCCAACCACAGTCATCACAAGCAAGAGATGTTAATTCTAGAGAGATTGTTAAAATGCCAAATGAAAAGGACTCTGAAACACCTGTTGATAATGCAGCGATTTCCAATAACTTAAATGGAAGTTGCTCAACAGAAATGTATACTTCATCAGACCACCCAGATCATCAATCTGTGCAGGACATGGGAAATGGTGATGTTTTTGAATGTACAGGGGGAAGTGTAATCTTACGCAATAAACATAAGAGCAGTAGTCATACTGAGAAGGGCAAAGACCAGCATAATGGCTGCAGTGTGACATCAACTTCTCCAACGATTGATGAGATAGATCTTGATGATGGCCTGTTAAGAGACGACATCACTGGTGATTCAGAAGGTGTTGCTTATAATTCGTCTCATAACACAGTCAATGGAAGCAGTGTGTCCACAGCAGTTGGAATTGGTTCAGATGAAGAAGAGAACTTGCATACCAATATGGACTTCCGTGGCTGGACATGGGTCTATATTGGTGATGATGATGAATTACTCGCCAAAATTCAACTTGAAGGACAAGGCAAGTCTTTAACTTTTTACTTTACATTAAGACATAAATGAACATGGATTTATTTTATTCGATTTTCTATAGATGATCAAATCAAATCAATTTTTTCTTTCCTTTTGAAAATATAACAATTAACAGAAAATTCTCTTCTTGGTAAAACAAAATTTGGGGAAAAAATTATAAGAAAAGTGATCATAGTAAGCAAAAAATAGGAGAATGTAACAAAAGGAAGGAAGATCTGACTGATCCCCCAGTAGCATAACATACAGTATAATGAAATATTAATATTGTGTAACTATAATAATAATAATAATTTTAATAATTATTAATGATGACAACAAAAATAAGAATGATAAAAACAATTAAAGCAATAATGAGAATGAGAATAATAATAATAAAATATTTCTAACAAAACATTAGCAATAATAACAAAAGGCAAAACAATATCGACAAAAACACAATAAAATTAATAGCAAACAGTAACAATAAAAAGAAAGGAAATGGAATATTACAGTTACTGCAAAAGGCAGTGTATTATAAAAATTGATATGTAAATATATTACAAACAGAAATGAAAAAAACAATGGCAGTAATAATAAAATCATCAATAGTATTAACATTAGGAAATGAATCAATTAAATACAAATAATAATAATAATAATAATAATAAATAAAAAAATAAAAGATAAAAATAAATAAATGTATAAAGAAGTAAATAAAAATAGTCAAGGGTGAGGTGAAAGGAGTGATGACACCCAAAAGAAAATAATGGACAAGGATGAAAAATAGAAGGAAAAGGTGAGTTCCAGGAAATGGCAAATCAAGTGGAGTAAAAGTTGAAACGATTAAATTTACTGGTTATAGGCATTTAATTTATGAGTCTTTTTTCATCCAGCTTTGGATCAGAATTGACTGGCGTATGACTGTAATTTGCAATTTGTGGCAAGTGTGTACAGTATTCTTCAGCTTGACAAGTGTTATAATTGTGGAATTTGTTGTTTTTTGGAAGAATATTTTTGAATGATATTGGAAGCATAGAGTAGAAAAGATGGTACATAAATGTGACGGTTTGTAATTTATTTACATCATACAGGTTTAACATACTGAATTTGTAACATAAATCCTTTGTGTGGGAGAGGTATGGGAATTAGTGCAAATTCTTAAAGCTTTCTTTTGTACTGTACTTTAAATATATTATCAAGTCTTGAAGTTTCTTTGCTGAGCCAAGGACATAACTGTGAAAACTTAACGTTCAACACAGCCCATGCAACATTGCAATATGAAATGTGTGGAAGGATGAGTGTATTATAGAGCGAAAATAGAATATTGTTGGGGAGTGAATGTTTAAGCTTGTTAAGAACACCAAGGTTGGTCGAAATTTTTGTGTTAATTTTATTAATACGGTAGTTCCAATCTAGCTTTTCATCATAATAGACACCAAGAAATTTTGTAAATTTAGCTATCAAAATTTCCAATATGTATATTAGGGCAAGGAGAGGGCAAGGTGTAGTGAAGTCATAAAACAAATATTTAGTGTAAGTTTGTTTGCTTTAAACCTTAAAACTTTATTCATATTATAAAGACTAAAGTGAAGTAGTCCAAGTCAAAAAGAAGCAGATGTGTGTCCTCGGTGAATAATATCGAGTAAAGAAGATTAGAAGATTTTGGGAGACCATTGACGTACAGTATAATAAATAAAGAATTGGACTAGTACAGTATGGAGCCTTGTGGGACCCCACAAGAAATAGGAAGTACAGTAAGTTTGAATTAATGGTGTCAAAGGACATGTATATTGGTATCTGTACTGTAGTAGTGTAGTGTAGAGAGGTAATTTAGGCTATGTTCACACACACGGCGTAAGACTGGCGTAGCTTACGCCAGACGTAAGCTAATTCACGGATTAAAATTCCAAAGTGTTCAAACAAACGGCGTTCGCTATATTAACTCTGGCGTTAAACTAGTAGTAATATAGGCTTATGGGGGAATATTTTTAAGTTTTAAATAATGTACGGGTTCTTAACTAGTAAAATTAACAGTGCATCAGTAAGACTTTTAAATCTGTGAATTGTTCGAAGTGATTATTTAATATGATTATGAACAATTTTAGGCCTACTTTGATTTTTCAGCTAGCATTGTTGGTGTTGCAGGTTTTAATAGACAGTCTAAATAGGTTAAAATATCTTACAAAACACAATCAACAAATCATATACATTATAACTAAGTAAAATGCAATAGAAAAGGAACCCCTTTACCATTTCATTTATAGAGAGCACAGGAAAGAGACCAAAGTAGCTAATATATTGCAATCGTGATTGGTCAAACTCTTGAAATGAGGTCAAATCATTCAAGCATCACTGGCGTTAGCTCAGTGGCGTTAGCTAATCTGGGGTCTGCGTTAATAACGCCAAGGACGTGGCGTAGTGAGTGGCGTTAACAACGCCACTGCCTAGTTCACACAAAGGCGTACGCTACGCCAGGCTTAAGCCAGCCTTACGCCGTGTGTGTGAACATAGCCTTAGTATGTGTTTATATGGAATACCTCTGATACCATAGTTGCTTTGTTTATGCATGTGAATACTGTGGTAGATGCAATCAAATGCTTTTGTGAGATCCAAAAACATATCAATTGTGGTATATTCGCATATTATGTCATATATTTGAAAAAAAGTTAAATCAGGCGAACAGTGTTTTCGAAACCCGTATTGGTGTTCATAAAGAATGTTTAATATTTGATTCAACAAATGTTATTTGGCGGCTATAGACAATTTTTTCGAAAATTTTTGAAAAACTGGTTTAAACAAATAGGACAGTAATTTGAGACGGTATTAATGTCAAGGGCATTTGGAAAGATACTTGTAGATAGAGAAATATGGAAGATGTGACTGAGAGGTTTAACTATGAAAAGTACAATCTTTTTGACAATATAAGGATTTACATACATAACCTGGACTTTTGCCACTTTCAAAACCCGTAGCAATGTTGATAACTTCATCGGTGATGCAGGAGTTAAAAACATAGATTTTCATGAGGTTTACATAAGTAAAGGTAAGTCTGTAAAAGATGTGGAAGGTAAAATCTTATTGGATAAATTATTACCTACGGTTTGTTAAATAATGATTGAAATCTAGTTTGTCAAGTTTTTTTGTTTAATTCCTCAAAGTTTTGCATGGTTGTCTAGAATTTTTCCTCACTAATATGGTTTAGTTATGCTTCAGAGTGTTCCTGCATATCGGCTTTTTAGGCCTCTAAGTTCTTTTTGTAAGTTAATATTGTCTCTGCTAAGGATAGTGATATCCATTTCCAGTGAGACAGTTTTCAATACTGCATCACACATGGTAGACTTTGTGTCATTAATACTTTTGCAAGCCACAATAGAATTTATTAATGACGATAATCAGGTGTTCGGTTCATTGATATCCAGTGTTTTCAGTAATCGCTATTGCCAAGCTCAAAATTCATACAGGCCTCACGAAGCAAAGCTATCCTTGAAGCATGCTGTTACAGGTAGGTGAATTAACAGCAACGCTTTGGGTTCGACTGCTGAAACACACGTCTTCACTTGACCAGAGCTCCTTGTTAATTTTATTGATGATAATGATATTAATATTATTTTTTTGATATTTTATTAATGATGATGATAGTAGTTCTTTTGGTATAAAAAAAGATTCTCAAATGCTTATTGTATAATTGATAAGCCCACACCTTGTACACAGAAATTGGCTGCTTTTTGTCAGGAGAAGGGAGTGAGGCTCAGGTATCCCATTTGACAAAAAAAAATGATCTTATTGAAACCGACATCTATAAATTTCAAGGATGGGTATATCAAAAGGCAATTTTTCAGCAATGTATAACCTAATTCAAAGCAAATCTTGATTTCTTTCTGAAAATATTGTAAAAATCAGCTGTGCTACTCATTTTCAAATTAAACTTTTTCATGTACAGTTGAACTTGCCTAAGTCGAATCCAAAATGCCGGTACTTTATTTTAACTATTTAAATACGTACCTCAATTAGTGGTTACTTATCAAGGTTGTGGAAGACATTTTATACAAAACACTTCCAAATACTGTATTGTTTAGAACACAAAAAGTATGTGATTGAAATTGTGAATTATTGAAGGCCTTGCTATATACAGTATCCTTGAAAAATTACCATTTCTCTTAATTACTAATGTTTGTTATTAGTTATTTAATATTTTTATCGTTATACAGTATTGATAAATTATTTACTGTAGTATTATGGTGAACTGTACGGCTAGTCTAAAGCACCACTCCGCAACCCATGAGCTGTGACACAATATTTGGGCTGCGGAAAAATTGATTGGGTTGCGTAATCTCTTCAGATCATGAAGACTCAATACGAACCACTAACAAACAAATCAAATTACAGGGAACAGAAGTGCAATGAAAGTGTGGCATGTGCGTCAGTTTACTTTTGTACCTTGAAAAAATCAGTCTGGTAGCTTATACAGTAGTCTGCTTGTGAATTTTAGATTGTGCTTTTAATCAAAACCCAAACTACTGTACTCCCACTTTAAAATGCTTTTGCATTACTTTTTCTAAACAAGACTTCAAAATCGTTGTAGGCTACTGTAAACCACCATCTGTAATTAAAGGTTGAGTGTTTATACTGCAGTATAAATATTTCCTTGTACAGAACTGAAACCCAATAATGTAGAGACATCCTTAAGTGATTTCTAAACATTTACATCCAAGGCCTAATATTATTGTTTAAATTCAGTCACCCCAGAGCAAAATTTGTTTTTGTTTTCAATTACTGTAATTTGTGAGTTTTTTTTTTATAAATCCCTTTGCCTTATTTTTAGAATGTACCATATTTTAAATTAACTTTTTTCTGAATATAAATTTTCTTTTTTTCTGTATTAATATTGAAACTACTGTAATATATTTCTTTATTTGTGGTTATAACTAGTGTTGCATTTTAAAATTATTTGTTTTTGTGTGATAGCTTCTTGATTGTACATACAGTACTCAATGGAAATAATGATTTTATGTATTTTTAGTACTACAGTAGGCTATTTTATTTAAAACTTTAGCCCAGTAGGCCCCTATGGTTTTATTTTTGTGTTTAACTTGTGTATATGTTTTACTTTACTAGTTGCCACTTTGAGACAAGCTGCTGTCAATTATGTGTGTAGTTCTGCATCTGACAATTAAAATATTCCTAGATCCTCAAATTTTCAGACACAAAAGTACACTTGGGTGCCATGTATAAATAAAAACTTAACTACAAGAACTCATTAAAAACTACGTAATTGAAATGTGGCCAGCAGACCACCTTAGACAGGCAATAACTATTTATGAAATTGAAAAAAATAAATAAATAAATAAAATGAAATATTAGGCATTATTATTATTATTATTTATTATTAGGCATTATTTTATGGTAACTTCACGGGGTGAAGCAATCAAATTTTATTGATTAATTACACAGATCCTTTTACCAAAACCCATAAAACTTTATTCCCTATATAGGCCTAACTATTGACTTTGTTTTTATGCCTTTCACATACCCATTGTCAGTATGCTAGTCACAGTTTAACTTGCCTTTTCATATATACAGGTCTCCCTCCAATTGAAGACCACTTCTGGGACCAGGATTTCTATGGTCTTTAGCAGCTTTGGTCTCTCATTATCTCAATAATAAAGATAAAAGATAACATTGGGACCACAGAAAACTGGTCATTAATTGGAGGTGGTCTTTAATTGGAGGAGTCTTAATTAGATGGAGAACTGTAGTAGTGATGATTTCATGAAAATATATTTATTACTTTTCTCTTTCTCGCTTTAATTTACAGACAGAACTGATACTGGTAATGTCCAGGATATGTTTAATGAGGACACAAGTTCAGTATCAACAACAGCCTCAGAGAAAGAGTTCAAGATCCAAGTACAAACAAGCACGCGCATCCACCGAAAAACTTCAGAAATTGACTACCAACGAGTATCAATGTTTAATAGTACGTTTAAAGACCCTTTTTTTTTTTAAAGAATTCGCCAAATACAAAGCAAAAAGCCACTCAAGGTATTGGCTAGATATAGAGGGACTAGAAACACAAGATGAAACGTTAATTCAGATCCCAATCAAACAAGCTTTAAAAAACTGTTTCAGAGTGGACAATTTACTGTCTGTGTTTAGATAATAAACTTGAGAACTAGAATTCAATATTTTAATTGTTTACCTTGTACTTAAGTGTGTGCTTCCTTTCCTGCATGGTTATTAGTTTTCAATTAGCAATTAGAATGAAAAATTGGTTGTTGATGATGGTGATGGTGAAAATGATGATGATGATGATGATGATGATGATGATGATGATGATGAAGATTATAATTTAATATTAATAATAATAATATAAATAATGATAGTAAAAAATATGACATTATGGGCCAATTCCAAAACAGTGATCAAGGGCGTAGTTTGCCCATTGAGTTTGTTAAATAAAGATGTTTTTAAATTTACTTAAGTGAATTTGATATACTGTAGTAAAATTTTTAACAAAAGGGAAAACTCATTCCAGAGAGAGGATGCAGAGAAAGAAAAGGTGTTTGGGCCATAAGTTTTTGTTTGGAATTTTGGGACGGTAACCAGAGACTTATTTGCAGAGTAGATACGACACGATGATGCATAATAAGGGACAATTTCATCAACATATTATGGTTAGAGAAAAAAAGGGTCTTGAGATGTGTAGATAATTCCTTTATTCTGTGCATAGACCTATAGTTGGCTAGAGAAGACCCCATTGGAAATGTCTTCAGACTTTTATGGGTTTTCCTTGGTGATCACACTACATAGATCCAATCCAATAATATCTGATTAATTAGGCTAAAAAAAAAAAAATTGTGTTGGCCAGGTTTTGAGGGAAAAAAAAACGGGTGGGTAGGTCGGTAGGAAAACTTTTTTTTTTACAACCAGATCGGTAGGAAAATTTTTTTTTTTTTTTACAACCAGATATGTGGCTATGCGTAAAAAGTAAAAAATACACAAATAATACAACAATTTTGTATTCGCATCGCATACCATCCAGCAAAATAGGCTACCCTTGGCCCCTAACCTCGCCAGGGCTATTCCAGCCATCATTGCTCATAAAAAAATATTGTTAAAATAAAACTAAAATAGCAACCCTTAATTTTGTAAAATTTGGATTGGTTGGGTGCGGCCAACACAATAATTGTTTTTTGGTTTTTTTTCCCTTAAAGAGGAATCTATAAATACCATGTTTCTATTCTTTCATTTTCTAGCAAGGGAAAGGGACATATGTTTAAAGAAAAAGAACAATGTGTTTGGTTTCCGGATTCAGAGGAGTCGTCCAGTTGTTGTAACTGAGGTTGACAAAGGTAATAAATGATTTGATGTTCTCACTGAAATATAATGTAGAAGAATGTCTACAAAAATTTAAATGATAGGGAAAATAACAACAGAGGAAAGCTGAACCATGATAGTTCTGATGTTTGCCTACAAATCCCTGGGTCTTGGGTTTGAAGACTGTAAAGGCCTTTGGATGGAAGACTGGCTTAGGAACACCTAGTCTTTTATGTTTCATTATATCACAACAGTAATTCTCCTTTCATTACCCTACATAGGAGGTGCAGCCGAAGAGGCAGGAATTAAAGTTGGCGATGTGATCCTTAGTTTAAATGGACATGATGTTAGTAATGCAGCTCATTCGGATGTTGTCAAGCATGCGTCATCCACAAACGGTAAGTAGTTTTATCCCTGTTTTCTTATTTCTGGAGCATTCTTGTCTTAATAGCATAGAGACTTTTGTATAAACTAAAGTACTATTACTTGTAGTTTAAGCCCACCTTGGGTATAAGCCCACCCCCTACTTTGCTCCCAATTTTAGGTACCAGCCTTTCCTCCTGCAAAAGCCCAGCGTTATAATTTGAATGAGTAGCTTATGCAACCTTTCAGATACTTCCCAAGAAAAAATCAAGTACAGTATTGGCTTTGAGTTAAGCATGCAGGGCTGAAAAATTGCCTTTTGAGTGAAAACAGGATTCCCCTGGTATAAACCAAACCCCCAAAATTGGCCTAAATTTGTGTTCAAGGGAGGTTGGGCTTATACTAACTACTGTACTACATACTATTGTTTTGGTTCTGTTTTGATGATAAATTACTTATCTGAAAAAAAAAATGACATACAAAATTCTACATTGGCCTGACAAAGGCCTGATGTAATTTAACGACGACACAAAATCAGGACACTCACTGTGCCTGATGGTCATCGGCTGATGTGATTCTATAGAGAACGCAATGCCACACATCTTGCATGCTTTTTTAATGACAATCGTCTCACATTACCACCAAAAATCAGATGATGTTCAACGCTCACGTGGTGCGGTGTTGAATTTGTCTGGCTTATGGCCTGTTTACACTATGACGATATCGATCAACCATGGAAAGCTAAAAACCAGTTGTTCATATAGAAAATAAAAGAAAAAAGAAGTTTTCACACTAGCACGATTTGATAACGATTTATCATGTTTTCCGATAAAAAGTGTATTTCACAAATCAAATCAAATGACATCATAATCATGGGAAAACGATAAAATTGCTTTTAATACTACGATTTTATCTGGAAAATGTCAAGGAAAATTCAAGATCAGTTACATTTACTGTTCGTTTTTACCTTAAATTGACATTAAAACAGTTGTCATACTTTTCTAATTTTGCTTCATTCTATTAGAAAATGATCACCTAACATTGGTGGTAGGAACAAATGTGTGCAACAGCTTGAATCTCAGGTCTGATCAGTCAGTAATGTCAGGATATATGTACAAGAGAGGTGGATCTGGTTTGTTACAGACATGGAAGAAACGCTGGTTTGTTCTGAAACATGATAACTGCCTTTACTACTACAAAACCAGCAAGGTAAGTTATTTGTATACCATATCCACATATATGGCATCACAAATTGTCTTCAGTATCACTTAGATTCACTCAGATTCACCCACACATATGATCGTCCATAGTTAAATAATGGCATGGACATTTCATGGCGGAAACATCTTTTGAAAGAGTGTCTCGGCCGCTAGTCCTACATATTTAAAATTTAAAATGGGATCCGCTCCATGTTTGTAAAAAGAACAGTAACGTAGATTACATTCTTTTTGTATAATTCTGATCTGTAAGGTGACAGATTGTTTTTCAGTTTTTCAAGGACCTTAAGTGATGAGCCGTATCTTATATCAACCTATATGACTCCATGATTTTAAAACTGATAATGACATTGACAACTCCTCCATTCGTCAGTGTCAGTGCCGCCTGTTTTACTAGGGTAACGTAGATTTCAAAGAAATTGGCGACAATGTTCAACCCATTATATCTTTTGAACGAAGTGGCAGAATAAGGTCCTGTAGAAAGCATATCCTTGAGGAGATATCCCTCTCTGTAGTAATACAGATAACCATGGTCAGACTTCAATGGACGTATTTTTAAAAGGTGTAAATCGAAGTGGAAAGGAATTTCAACATGGCAGTTTAGCAGTAATATCACCCCTTATCAAGGACCAAAATAAAAATTTGCCTTCAGGAGGACAAAATATGTAATTGTCACCCGCCAGACAATTGTCCTCGATGAATTAAAGGTGAAATAGAATAGTATTAATAAAGTTTTCAGATAAATAATTTGGGCCTACAACATCGGCGCCTATAATCTGAAAATGCGCCTTCATCATCGTCATCATCACCATCACCATCATTCCATGTAGATAACTCTCTACACAACCTTTAACTCAGCATTGCTGTTAGGGTCATCCTCTTTAAATAAGTTAAATAAAAGAATAAAAATAAAAGGAGAAGAGTGGTAAAGGGCTAGTCTTCCTGTTTTCTGAAATTCTACCAATTCATGTATAGCAGAAATTTTACAGATACTGACTTCATCACTTCATCTACTTACACTCATTGTTCAACTAAGGAATATGAAACAGTATCAAACATTCACTTATGCAGTTAGTTCCACCAACATGCATGTTTACTCTACTTTAGAGTATTGGATAGTACTGTAATCTGACAGACATCATCGATTAACCAATCAATTATGCAGTTAATCACTCACTCATTGAACCTTTTTTTTTTCATTACTTTTTTTTTCAATCAGGATGTGGACCCACTAGGAGCAATTGTTCTTGCCAATTACACTGTCGTAAAAGCATGGGATCTTGATAAACCATTTGCGTTTAAGCTGAGCAAGTTCAAAGCCCGGACATATTACTTCCACACCACATCCGAAGAGGAACGTACTAAGTAAGATAAGAATCAAATAAGTTTCAAATCCTAATCTTCCTCAAAATGAAGGAAACTGGATGGTTTGATAATGGACCTTTCCACTAAGCCCCACCCCTTGGATATTGTTGCTAAGGTCCCACAAAACAACAGCATTAATGTACGTAAACACATGTGTTTGTTGGACAACACATGTTTTTGTTGGACATGCACATATTCCTGGCACTGTCCTGATTGGTCAGTTGCTAAGTTTGATTGAAACTAAGGAAATTTCCATTGGATCTTTCCATAGCAGCTGTACATCTACTTCTTCACAACTACACAAGTGTCAAGGCTGTGTGTCACAGTGCCCTTATGTAAATGTTAACATTAGACCAAACATAAGCTATCAATGTATCTTACAAACTTATTTGCATTCAGTTCACACTCCAGTCAAGATTCCTGTAATTTCCAAGACCCTCTAATTCGAGACCACTTTTTCAAAGTACAACTAACAATCTTCAATCATTTAACACAAAGAAGAGTCCACCACAAATTTCAGGTCCCAAAGGTGGTCTCAAAATGGAGACTAAATATTTGACTTATTTGCATTTACAGGTGGGCCTCAGCCATCACAGATGCTACAAATCCGACGATAAAATCAAACATCTGGATGGGTATCAGTACACACAATGTTAGTATTCCTGCACTATCAATCTCCAACCCAGAATGCATCGGGTACCTGACGAAACGTGGAGACAAACACAAGACATGGAGGCGAAGATTCTTTGTCCTCAAAGATGCTTGTATGTACTACTATGAAAACAACAGTTCTGCTAAAGCTCTAGGTAGGTTTGTCTTTTTTTCATTTTTGCTATTAGTATGAATTTGTTTTACAACTCAGCTGACTCATTGCTTAATGTTACTTAACCATCCTATGGGGTTGAAGAGGCTTGAGCATGAGTGCCTGATTTTAAAGACAAGTCATAATATTAATTTTTGTTCCTTTATATATGGCCGCAAACTTGTTAACATTTATGACAAATAAAGTGATATTAGAGATTGAGGAACAGTCTTGTAAACATTATCTTGCATGCAGGTGAAACTTGCAAAAAAGGAAGTCCATTGAAAACCTAAATGTAGATAGGCCAGGTCTTAGTTTTGGGCTCTTACTGTATGAGTACAGCAGAAGACTACGACAAATGAAAGCTGTGCATTTCACATGTCAGGCATGAGGGAATTTCATAGATTTTCACTTTTCCCCGGACAAGTACCTTTGAAAAATGCACTCGTCCTGAAGACAATTTTACTTGTCCCAATATTATTGCGCAATAATCATAAAAAATAACATAAAAGTAAAGTTTTTTTTTTTTAAAGTAAAGGCCCTACAACATTAATAGGCTTACACGCATACTGCTTTGATCACGCAAAAATGTTTTTCTTTCTTTTTTTAATTAGCAAGAATTTTAATAATGTATAATATGGAGAATTTCAATAAAATAAACATTATAAATAATATTCTATGTATGTAGGAGTGTGTTGATCTTTTTCTTATTGCGTGTTTAAAAGCCGTCGTCATGACAACTGCAAGTAAACATTTCTCAGGCATGGTTGAATTCCCACGATACACTAGTTCTCAGCCAAAGGTTGAGAGGACTGTGTTTTATGACGGTATTTGGAGAAAGGGGAGTGGGTGGCCATATCGTATGTTTGTACCCATTTGCAGATCTTAATCAATTCTAATACTAACTTAAATGTTTTTTTTTTTGCGGAGGATACAAACAAATTCAAATTGCACTTGAAAACATCTGGAAAAATAGATGTGCAGAATCGTAAATACTTGTGTTCCTACTATGAAGGCCTCAATTTTCTGCAAAATATCTGTCAAAATCGGCTCATATTTTTTAAATGCGGCGACGGATTTCTGGGCCTAATATTTTACGCGGGGAATATTTTACAGCCTCACACATCATCATTCCATTTATTGCAAAATAAATAAAATTACTTACCTCTCAAAGAAAGATAAGTACTGTACTGTAGGCCTAATATACCTATGAGGATGGGCCGAGAGGACAAATCCCTCCGAGATGGCAAAATTTTTGAGACGGGAAAAGGATTCATTGGATTGGATTGGATTTATTCGGTGTAAACACCAAGGATAGCCCACGAAAGTCTAGAAGAAGACTTATTTCCAGTGGGGTCCTTCTGGTGGTGATTGGACAGTACACCGGGAGACAATCCCCTACTCTTTTCCAAAGAGTGTACTGTGTTCTTTAACGTGCACATGGGCCATAAATGCAAACGGGACCAACAGCTTAAACGTTTTATCCGAAAGACGGTGCGCTATGTAACTTGTATTTCAGCCCTCTAGCTGAAACACAAGGAGAGGCAGCGATGGGAATTGAACCGGGAACCTAGAGATCTCCACGGTTCAACGCACACACAGTGGCTACTACCAGATTAGCCGACTGAGCTAAGCTGCTCTCTCTAACGGCCCTAACGCTTCAATTTTTAACTCCAGTTTTACAAGATTTGGATTTTATATGCACATTGTCTCCACTGAGAATTGAATGATTTCTTGATTACTTTAACAACTTTAAATCCCAATTTAACTACCCTTTCTTAGTTTGTCTAGATTGCCTTCCCCACACGCGCGAACGAAATAGAGTAGGCCTTTTTTGAAGTCAGCCTAATGGCTGCTGTTCGTATTTGTACACGAAAGTATTTACTAGTCTTGAATTCCAGACATTTCATGTCGTCCAACTCAACTAATCCACTAATGGCTGTGCGCCCAAAGTCTTTAAATATGTCTGGTATTTATAGACTAGACCAGTGCAAATTTATATTTATATTGTAAACAGACCACGTGCAGCAGGCCCAGATGGCTGACGGCTAACAGGAATGATATCGTGCAAAAATGTGTGCTTGCTGTACAGTAGGTCTTACGACAGATCTGGCTAACATTTAACAATTAAGAATTCATTTTTAATCTTTACTGCAGAAAATAAATTTTATATTGAGTTAGGCCTATATTTTTATTTTTAAACCATCCATAAAACGCGGGAGTGTTGGTGACTCAAAGTTGATGCACGCAGTGCGGCGAGTAACCATGGCCTAGTCACTTTTCGTTTGATATCTCTTTGTGCGCCGACAATTTGTTAATAAAATATGCTGCATATTGTCAAGAGGCGAACTTTTTATAAGTACATGGTGAAGTAGCCTATTCTAAAAGTGCTTATCCACGGACAATTGGTCCCTAAAATTCTTGTTGTCCGACCGTAAAAACACTTGTCCCGGGCATCGGGCAAGTGGGTTTGCTCATGCCTGCATGTGATTTGTGACGAGTAGATACATAAGAGTGAAAACTGTCACTTTTTCAAAGCTATTTTGCAATCATCGACCCATTAGCATTAAAAACTTAAATTGATATCTATTAAAATATTCAATTATTTTGATCTTGATCAGGTGTTGTGCATTTCCATGGTTACACCATCCAGGAAATCAGAACCAATAGTAAGAAGTTTCCGTTTGATTTGATCCCACCTGAGCCGGACCTGAGAACATACCACTTCTTAGCAGATCACGAAACGGACCGTAAACGGTAAGGCAACTATTTCACTAGCTACTTACACAATATATAAAAAAGGTGTGCATTTATTCATGAATTTATTTTGTGAGAATATAATCAATCCTTTGTGTTGAAAATGTAAAAATCCTGATCACTTCATTCTGTGATTGGCCAATAATCACATGGGATTGCTACTTTAATCTGATTATTTTTATGCATTTTAAACATATATTTTTGTTTATATGGTTTTTGTTCTTAAGGTGGGTGGCAGCTCTTGCATCCTCCATAGGCAAGTGGGTCAGGACAGATGTTTGTAACTCTGATGATGAAGAAGGGACTGAAATGCTCATCTGAAATGCTCAGTTTTAATGATTCATCATGATGTTTGGCAAACACTGATAGGAATTACTCAGATGGTGAACAGTAGGTAGTTTTTGCTGCATGACGTTGATCTTAACTTTAACGTTAGTACCCATCATGCAACGTGATAGCTCCGCCCCTTTTGTAAACAAATCGAAATACGCATGCGGAAACCTGTAACTAACGTACGTCGAGCACATAAAATCCTGAAATTAACATACTCCACAATGCAAGATTAATGAATTAAGACGTCATCCATTAACGTTAAGGTTAACATCGTGCTGCGAAAACTACCGAATGATGCATGCAGTCACAACTGAGATAGGCCCACTCAAATGATGTTAAACAAAATTCAAAGCTTAAAGTCAACTAATCATCTGTGGTACCAAACTGATGTTGTGCTCATCTGAAATGCTCAACACATACATGTATGGTGTATGCTCACCAGAGGTACAAAACTCTAGTGCTCATCTGAATTTTTTTTAAATTGCTCAACTAAAACTGTCAACTGAAGTACTCAACTGAGAAGCTCATTTGAGAATGAATGAAGTTGGTGAAAACCTTGTTTTCTTAAAAATGCTTGTCATCACATAAGATGCTTATCCAAAATAATAAACTAAGGTTATCAACTGAGATGCTAATTTGAGAATGACTGCACTACACCTAATGAAGTTTGTGAAAGCCCGGTGTTCATGATAAGTTTGCTAGACATCAAGTGATATGCCCATTCAAAATGCTTAACACAAATTTTCTCTAATAAAACTGAGATGCTCATTTGACATTCTATTCAAAAATACTCAACTGATTCACCGGTGTTCATGACAAGTTTGATGCTCATTCAAAATGCCTAACACAAATTTTCTCTAATAAAACTGAGATGCTCATTCGATATTCTATTCAAAAATGCTCAACTGATTCACTGGAGAGCAGACCTGCCAAGTATCCCACATTGTTTTCTCACGGCAGGGGTTCAGCCAGAAAAACGAAATAGGCCATCTAAAATATGCGTTAGTTTGAAAGAATTTGCTAGAGTAGACGGCGCTGAGTAGGCTTAGCCGCCCAAGCCGTCACGGTAAAAGTGGCCGTCCTAAATAATTGTTGGCCGTCCAAAAGATGTCTAGGCGGCTCGCTGGCTAACCCCTTGTCCCACGGTCCCGCCCACATTTGTAAAATGTTGTTAAAAGTCACACATTTCCTTCCTGCATAAGCTGATGCTTATGCAGGATTTTTGAACACAAAAATAAATGTAATTAATGAAGAAATTATTGCCTAAGATGGTTAGTATGTTGTTTGTTTCATTCATGTCCCCACATCTGCAGTGTTTGAATGTGCTTTTATGGCCACCTGCAGAAACCCTATTCTTAAAATTGTTCACCCCAGCCACAACCATGTTCGCGCTTCCCTATATAAGTTTCCAGCATTTTTTTCTATAACCTTAGCAGGTCTGGGAGAGGCTCATATGTTGTTGGCCAAAATTCTTAATCAAATATGTAAAATAATCCAGCCTTGATTGTACACTAGCTGTGACCAAGCCTTGATGATAGAAAGGCAGTACAGTAAACATAACCTTGATTGATTTAAATGATTCCTTATCAGTGATACCTTGAAGACTTCCAGAACCTTTTTTATAATTAAATTCTCTTTAAACAGGGTCATTACATTAATTCTATGTGATTAATGTTCTATTAGAGCAACAAAATTATAACCTAGTAGCTTTTAATAAATCGAAAAGTACACATTTTCCTTCAATTAACATTTTGCATTATAAATAATAATGCTTTTAAGTGAGGCATTCATTGAATTGAGGTAAGTTACTGTATATGGATTTCAGCCTCTATCTGAAACTCAAACAGAGCAGGTCAGAGTTTTAAATAAGTCTCCATGTTATAGTGCTTACACAGTGGCTACCGCCAGATTAACCAACTGAGCTAAGGTGCTTTCTTTGTAAAGCTCCATTCAGATTATCAAATTTTCTTTAAAAAAAAATGTTGTATGCTCATATATGGTCATGATGTGATGTCATCAGGACTATTATTAATCTGATAGTCTGGACAGGGTTTAAATTAATGTAGCACTTTTCCAGATGGATCACATGTGATTCTGAATGAAAACAGCAAAGGTTAATACAAACTCAGAAGTGGCTCATATATATCCTTGTATATAAAAATGTAAAATTGTTATTTTATGTTTATGATACATTATTTTATTACCATTATTATAATTTATGTGTAGATGAATGAACATTTATTTTTTTTAGTATAGTATGTAAGTAGTGTACAGTATACCACCTCATTTTTAAAGAAAGTATTTCAGCATTATATTTTATATGTGTTAATATTTTATTTTTATTTATTATTATAAAGTTGATTTGAACAGTGAAACCAAACTGATATTCATAATATTTGCTGTGGTTATTTTTTGAACTACCCTGATAATTTTACAGTGTGTGAAGGGAAAGACATTCAGTTCAGTTGCTTTTTTTGCCCGATTATAATGTTGATACTTGTCATGTCAGTGATGATGTCATGAACGAAGAGAAGTTAAAATGTACAAGGAAAAACTAATCTAAATTGATAACCGATTATCACTACAGGTCTCCCTTCAATTAAAAACCCCTCCAATTATAGACCACCTCCAATAAGACCACTTCTCTGTAGTCCAATATTAATAGATCTGTCTTTTATCGTTATTACTCAATTTGAGACCAAAGCTGCTAAAGTCCATAGAAACCCCAGTCCCAAAAATGGTCTTTAATTGGAGGGAGACATGTTTTTCTCTAATTGACTATGAAATATCACTGCTGATTTGTGTAATCCAAATGTAAAGATGTTGTCATATACAAAGTATATCACAAAAGATTAGTGTTTCAACCATTTTGAAGGGCTGCCAACCTTGTCTATTATTCTTGCTTTCTTGATTCTACTAGAGGTCAAATAGTTAAAGTACTATCACCTTGTATTCCATTAAACATTTTCTAAACATCCTTTAGATTTATGCTAATTAGCATGTCTTCTATCAGAGTACTGTACCATTAAAGAACATTACTTTATTATTAATTATTAATTAATTATAAGGTCATCTTGCCATTTATTATTAATTGATAATAAGTTTTTCTTGCCATTTAGTTGTACAGTAACATCGTTTTGATTCAGTATCGAACATTAGTTATCATGTATCTCCCACCAGTGTAACATAAGACAACATTAGTTTATGAATAATAGGATCATCTAGCGGTTCAGTTGTACAGTTGCGTTAACTATATATTGTGCTGGAATTTTACTTAAACGAGTTATACCAGTTCTCTAAATCAATCTTTATTATAAACTCAAACTTTATATATTTCATTATAATAATAATAATAACGCCATTCTTTACAGTGCATTCTGCAGCAAAAAGGCTCAATGCGCTTTACAAGAAACAAAATTTTGACTTAAAAAACAGTTCCAAAATGCATTTGCACTATCAGTATATCTCTATATTACATGTATATTGTATTATAGTTTCAAGATAATTTGTGATTAAATTTAACTGTTTGCATAAAAATATGGAGACTTAAAAATAAATAAGTATGGTGCCATATTGATCTGGCTAAGAGTGGCAAGACGATAGATACAAATGTTTTTTATCATACCATTTTTTTTGTAAAATGTATTATATTTGACTATGCAATTTTTCATGAAGTACAAAATGTGGTTTTATTTGATTATATTTCTAATTGAAAAAATACCCAGTGCATTGAACTTAATTTGTTGTAAATTTGAAGTTGGATAAAGTATTTTGAAATGGAAGCTAACCTTAAAGATGTCTGATAATTAGAAGGAGAATTTGTTGTTATTGAGTTTTAATTTTTAAAATTTATTTCTTTTTTATTGAAAGAAACAATTTGTTGATTTTGAAGTGATATTGGCCAGTTTTATATTTGTTAGTTTACTGAATATACATATATGATTTACATAATATAATATCTAAGAAGATAATAACCTTGTAATTGTTAATCCATATTATGTAGAATTTTTATGTAATAAAGTTATATTTACCGTTACCTTCAAAATGTCTTTGCACTATTAATGATGAATATATTGTGTGACTTTGTTAAAAATGGTTCTCTATTTTGAGTGTTTGTGGTTCTACTTTTCAACCTTAAGGTTAGAGGTTCACACACAAAGTGCACTGATTACAACTGCAACATTATGGAATTCTCCCCAGGGAGCTGATTATATGTATTCCATATGTGCTTGACCGGGGATAATAATGTGAAGTGCTTAGAGACCTTGTTTGCATTAAGCGCTATATAAGTCATAACTTAGTGAGTGGAGTTGTGACAGGAATTGATCCCAAGATCTTGGGTTTGGAAGACAAGCATCTTAACACGTAGCTATTGAATTCATCCAGTCATCTATAATAGTAGTGTCAACAAAACAAGGCCTCTTGCACACACTGGAGTGAATAAACTAGTGCAGATCAATACAGTAGTATTTATTCAGAATCTTTAACAAGGGTGGCCCAATCAGTCAAGTAGATTGGTCTCCCTTTGGGCCCTGGGTACAAGGTTTTTAGAAAATATAGTAAAACATTTAGCTAAAATACAATAAAAAACATAAAAGCAATATAAAGATATAAATTAACATTAACAATAAAAAATTAAAAATAAGAGCTTAAAGTAATGATGCCTTGAAGTTACTTTTAAAAATATTTTTAAATAAGTAAATAAATTACAGCCGTCAATTATTAGTCTATGCGACGTGCCATACGTTTTATGGTGTTAGTTACTATTTATTTACTTTGTGCGTATATTTCCATGGCAACGGGTAAATTTGTATTTTTTGGGCATTTTTTGTCATTTTTGGCTGTTTTTAAATGTTAATATTTCTGATATCCTTATAGTTTATTCATCAAAAATAATGAGTGTGTATAAGGTCAATACATTTCATTTCATTTATTTGTCTCAAACAATTAGGATGTACATAAATAGAAACGGCAAAGAACAATCACAAAAGTACAAAAAACAGAGACTGGACACTCCAAAAGTAAAATCAATCACTGTCGAGTGGAGGCCCTTTAAAAGAAAAACACAATACATACAATATAAAATTCTTCAGAAAGATAAGAAATCGAAAGATAAATATTGAAAAATGAGTAAAACTCAATAAATGAGCAAATTTAATTTAAAATGTATTTCATTGGGTATCTGTTGCATATTTTTTAACGTTTTTTGGATTTCGTAGTTGGGAGATACCATGTTTTTAAAAAGGGGTGTTTTACTTTTTTTTCAAATTATAAAAACTTCCAAACTTGAATTGCGCATAAACCTCAAAGTGGTGCTTTTTTAGAACGGATTTTCTACAAATAGGTAGTTCTAATGCTCCCTTAGAGAATTCCAGTTTTAAAAATGTGGGTAATTAAAAAACGTACGAGCAGTGTTGCCAGGAAAACTAGCATTTTTCATTAAAAAAAATATATAATAGTAAAATTTACCAGTTTTTACCGCTGATTTATTCAAATTTTTTTGATTACGACAATAATAAATGTTTTTCTATACTTTAAGTAATGTTGTGATAAAAAAAAAAAAAAACAATGTTTGTGGTATCAATGTTTTAGCGGAATTGTAAACCCTTTTAAGAGGAGATTATAATAATTTCACTTTATACATACTAATTTCTGTCTGTGGTGTCACCAGTTGGACACAGCACCTTAATCTGCCTGGGAATGCCAGTCCCTGAATAACACCCTCTCCTCCCTAACCACATCATGCAACACCCCTACCCCTTCTTGTCGGGACAAGTCAGGAAATATCGTGAAAAATATAAACCTAATATGTGTCGTGGTAGAGGTGGTGCCAGGATTCGCCCGACAAGAAGCCCTATGTCCCAGATGGTGGTCCGATTACAGCATTCAGGGAATCTTTAGCAGATTTTTTGGAAAATTAATATCTTGGCACATTTTTGTTGCATCGCGGTGTTCCAAACACAAGCCCAACAGCGATAATGAAAGATGTAGTTTCATGGCTAAAGAGTGTTCTTCCTAAGCTTACATCTATATATTTAAGACACAACAATGCCGGCTGCTACCACGTCCTGTACAACTACACTACTGTACTTGCAACAAAAGAAATTGCTGAAAAGACGAGGGTAAATGTGCAAATTTATGCAAACGAAGTTCATGTCATTGAAGATGGTTTTAAAATAAAACATACTTTAGAATCAGATAGACAGTAAAAGGTTGTTCCTACCTTCTCAAATGTTGCAACATATTAATACTGCAAGTGGGATGGTATAAGCCTTCTTAATAATTTTGAATTTACAACTACAGGCAGAGGCGGATCCAGGGATGTCCAAAAAGGGGGGGGGGGGGGGGGGGGGGGGGGGGGGGGTGACGAAAGTTGGGCTGGTCGAGACAACACTGTCCTAGGGGGTTTGGAGGCAGGCCCCCGCGAAATTTATGTGTTCTAAACGCTCAAAAATACCATTTGAGGTGTCTGGGCTATAATTTTTTTCTTTTTCTTTATTTTTTTCTTTCTTTTACCTCCCAAAAGAGGGTGGGGGCGGGGCCGGGCCGGCAACCCTCTCCCCCTAAATCTGCCCCTGACAGGAGTATGAGTGTAGAGGGCATATGACATTTGACCTGGTTCAGAAAGTGGAAAACAAATTTTAAAGATACCATAGTGTCTTTTGGTGTGCATGAACCACCAAAACACAATGGAATTTTTAAAGAAATGATCACTGCAAAGGTGTCTGATCAACCTGTTCGCCAACATCTACCAGTCTGTGCACAAGGCCAACTTAGAAATGAAAGGATACGTTTAATAATCATTTGTTTTTCTGTCCCGAAGATGAATTTATAAAGTCCTACATAAGCTTCTGTAGGCCTACAAAAATCAGATAGTTACAGGAACACTTGAATACAGACATGAGAATCAAACACTGTTGGACAAAGCAGAATTAGGCTATGCTGAAAGGCTTTCAACTGACACATGCACATTCCCATGGTAGCATTTTTATTTTCTAATGTCTAATCTTTTAATTAAATTTTCATTTGCTCCAAAAGCCACCAGACGACTATTATCTGCCATACAAGAAACATTACATTTATATTCATTAATATATATTTGCGATGGCCAAAAAAATCATTTAAAAAAATTAAACAAAAGATCAATGTAGCAGAGTAGTACAAATGGAGCCATTGTTGGCAGAAGACGGATAGACATTTAGAGAATATGGAAGAAGGTTTGAAACGTTTAGTTCTACAAGAAAGCGGTAAGAAGATTGTTAAGCGAGATAGATATTAAAGAATGTGATCATAAGACTGAACAATTATGCAAAAAGTGCATGGAGTGAAATATTTAAATCTTGTGTTGTACCATGTATTACCATATTTAGCAAATAGGTGTAGATATGAAGAATATGAAGAGTAATCTGATAGAAGTTTACTGAAAAGATATTCAACACTTATTAAATACGCACCTTCACACTCAAAGAAAACAGGAAAAGACACAAGATTTTCCAGAAACAAAAAAAAAAAAATATATTTAAAAGAAATTCCAAATAGTCAGTGTCAGAGGTTGAGAAAAACATGAGAATAGCTAGGAACGACAGTGAGTTATCTAAACCATCAGAATATCTGAGCAAAAGATGTAAAGCTATTAGAAAAATGTTAAGACAGTAGTACACTATAGGCTACAAAAATGTTGACGAGTCAGATGAAGATATTCTTTAAGCTGCCGAAGAGGAATCGCAATAGATAACCTCCAAATGCTTGTCCACGAAACAGTTGATCTTTAACATCCAATTGTATATGGCAAAATCAACTTTTCATGGCCAATTCAACAATTAAATTGAGTCTTCCTAAGTTGAAAATCATAACTCGTCTTTGAAAGCGAATTTATCATGGATTCAGAAAGTTAAATTAAGTTGTTTGCTTTACATGCAATGCATTATAATATTGAGAACATACTTGAAATAAACCTGGCAACACATGTTGTAATAGTCATGTATATAGTAATATTATGGTTACATGAATTAGGGCCTATATTTTATATTATAGCATTTTCCGTACAGTAAACAAATGTATATTTACAATATTTTTTAATGAAAAAATGCTGCTTTTTCTGCCAATACAGTAACGCATATTAATAAACCTTACAACACATTCCTTAGCATGTTGTTAAACTAGTCAGGTAACTATATTTGTTATGGTTAATGAATTACATTATATTTTATAGCGTTAACTGTTCAGTACAAAGATGTATATTTATGTTAATTTTTAATTTAAAAAAAAAACAATGCTGTTTTCTGGCAATGCAGTACAAAATTAAGTTTTAAATTACTTGAAATGAGCCTGGCAACACATTTTTTAACATGTTGTTAGACTATTTATGTATTTATAGTAACATTATTTTGAAATAAATTTACGTTGATTTTAGTGTTATCCATTCAGGAGTGGCGTAGAAAAATATTTTTCATTGGGGGGGATGATTGACGTGTTAGCCAGTGTCGTAACAGGCGCGGGGGAGGGGGTGGGGCAGGCGGAAAACTGCCCCTCCCCTGACGGTTTTTACCGGGCCGACCAAGTCGTCGTACCGGGCTGGGTAATAAGAGAAAAGAAAGAGGGGAGAGAGAGGGA